ACAATTCAGGGAGGAGGAGAGGAGGGCAGGGGGGAAACAGGAGAGGGAGACGGCGGCGGCGACGACGACGGCGGCGGCGGCGGTGGCGGCCGCGACGACGTCGATGACGACGACGGCGACGTCGACGGCGGCGACGTCGACGGCAACGGCGACGGCGACCGCGGCGGCGGCGGCGACGGCGATGGCGACGGCGACGGCGACGGCGACCACGACGACGGCGACGGCGACGGCAACGGGGGCGACGACGGCGACGGCGACGACGGCGACGGCCACGGCCACGGCCAAGGCCACGGCCACGGCCACGGCCACGGCCACGGCGGTGGTGGCGGCAGCGGCGGTGCGACGGCGACGACGGCGACGGCGACGACGACGCGCTCAAGGCCCCCCTTGAGTTGCAGGGGTGGGGTCCGAACTGGGAGGGCCCCCCCTTGGCGCCTTCGCCGGCGCCGTCGGGCAGCGACGACAACGACTACGACGACGCCGAGCACGACCACGCCCAGGGGCGCTCTCGGTTCGATTTTTGTTGTTTATGCATATATATGTTAACAACTACGGGTATACATGTACACATGCATGGGTATACAAACAACAACTATGGGTATACATGAGCACACGCATGCGTGCATACATGATGTTTATACATGCACACACATACTCATCCATATACGTTGTTTATGCTTAACTGCAGTTTACGTACATACTGCCATATGTAGATGTATGGATATAGGTATGCATGCATGCATGCATGTCTGCATATACCTACATATATGTATGTATGCATGCATGCATGCATGCATGTATGTATGTATGTATGGATGGATGGATGGATGGATGGTTGGATGGATGGATGGATGGATGAATTGATGTATGGATGTATGGATGTATGGATGCATGGATGTATGGATGTATGGATGTATGGATGTATGGATGTATGGATGTATGGATGTATGTATGCATGGATGTATGGATGTATGAATGCCTGGGGAGGGCCCGGAACTGCGACCCCTGGTTTGCATGGCGGTCAGGAAGGGCGTTGAGGGCTCCAGGAGGGCCGAATAGGGGCCCCTGACCCCCCCAGAGGCTCCTGAGCTGGCCCAAGAAGCTCCCAAAGCGCCCCAGGTTGTCTGGAAGATGGCTGAGGAGCGCACTGAGATGGCCTCAAGACGGCCCACGGGCGCTCGAAGACAGCCAAAGACTGCTCTTGGACGGCCACAGAGGCCCTCAAGGCGGTCCAAGAGGCCGCCGAGAAGGCCCCCAAAGGGCAAACATCAAGCATTTCAGATGTAAAAGGCGTAGATTTCTTGGATACTCGTAATTGCAATCCTAACAGCGGCCACGACGGCGCCTCCCCAAAGCGGCTCCGGACGGCCCAAGAGGACCCCAAGATGGCCCGAAGACGGCCTGAAGAGAGCCTCAAAAGCAGCGCAAGACAGCTTCAAGACGGCCCAGGAGAGTCCCCAGGGGGCCCGAGGGGGCCACCGGAGGATCCTCACACGGTCGGAGAGGACCCCAAGAGGGCCCCAAGACGAGCTCAGCTCCCCGTGACGGGCCAAGAGGGACCCACGCAGTACACATTCGCAGCGAGCGATGGGTTCGCCCTTCGTTCCATTGTAAACTTCAACGATGGCGATTCAGATAAAATGCTTGACTTCCGTCTCTGTTATTTAGTAGTGGCAGGAAACAATGGGGGCCAGCCGTGTACAGTGCAAAGGAATGATGGTTTGGCCTTCGCGCGACCACCATGGACACCTGCGTCGTGGGGGGGGGGGATCAGACGGCCCAAGAGGTACCCAGGACCGCCCGTGGCGGCCGAAGAAAGCGCCGACAGGGTCTTCGCGGGGGGAGTTCGAACCCACACTTCGAGGTCTCCTCCCTAAGAGGCCCCCAGGATGCCCCAGGACGGCTCCAAGAGGACCGTTAAGAGAACCCGGAGAGACAAATGCGCCCCGTTCCGTTTGGAAAGCGTGCAGTTCTGACGCAATCGTTGTTTTCATGTGCCCAGCGTCCAAGACGGGCCCAGAGGTCCTTAGGAGAGCCCCCCAACGGCCGAAGAGGTCTTCCAGAGGGCCCCAAGACGGCCCACGAGGCCCCCAAGACGGCCCAAGAGGCACCCAGGACCGCCCAAAAGGCCCCAAGAGGGGCTCGTGGGAGGGGTAATGCGAACCCATGTTTCAAGGCTTCGGCCCCAAGAGGACCCCGAAGATCGCCAGCAGGTCCCAAGCCCCCCCCTCCTCCGAGAGGACCCAAGAGGGCCAGAAGAAGAGGCTCCGAAGAGGCCTCGAAAAGCGTCCCAAGTGTCTTCACCATTGTTTCCAACAGGCTGCCCAGAGGCTTCCCAAGAGACGCGAACGCGTAGTCACGAGGTCTCACACCAACAACCCAGGCGCGGTGGCAGGATGTGAAGAAGGCCACCAGGAGGGGCACACGTGGACGACGGGCACGAATGACCTTCCTCTTTGTGCATTCTTCCTGCTGTTCGTCTTTAAGGACTCCACTCCTT